GGCAGCTGGTGGAGGCCTTCGAGGAGATGAGCCGCAACCTCTTCTCGCTGCCCATCGACGTGCCCTTCAGCGGTCTCTACCGGGTGAGCGCGGGCGGCTGGGTGGGGCAGGGGCGGGCACAGGGGCAGAGCCAGGCTGTGCTGAGCCCTGTGCTGTCCGCACTGCAGGGCCTGCGCGCACGGAACATCATTCATGCCAGGATCGAGGCCAACATCCGCAACAGGATGGCCCGTGCTGAGCCCGGGGGTGGCCCCAAGGACGCGCTGCAGCTGCTGCTGGAGCAGGCACAGTGCCATGGCCAGCCGCTCAACATGCAGGTGAGGCGTCCCGCCATCTGGGAGGCTTCCTGGGAGCCCTGCCTGCCAGAGCATCCAGGGCCGGCGCTGTCCTCTTGCCCTGAGCCCGTCTGGAGGCTGCAATCCTGTCTCCAGCACCTGCTCGAACAGGGCTGTAACCCTCACCAGCCACCCCCTCTCTGCCCCTCTGTCAGCCCCTGTTTTTCCCTCGCCACCACCCTCCACACAGGCTGCAGTCTTTGGATAGTTTGAAAGCCTGGAGGTATGAGAGGCAGGTGCACCTCCCCGCTCCCAAAACAGCATCTCCTGGGGAGTGGCACTTGCTGCAGGGCAGGGCAGAGCATTGGACCTGACCTAGCAAAACTCTGCAGTGCAGCAGGGTCCGAGGCACCAACCTAAAAGAAGTCTTGTCTGCCCCTTGCTTCAGGAGCTGAAAGAATCTGCCACAGAACTCTTGTTCGGAGGCCACGAGACGACTGCCAGCGCTGCCACATCTCTGATCACCTTTTTGGGGCTTCACCCAGAGGTCTTGCAAAAAGTGAGAAAGGAGCTGCAAGGGAATGTGAGTGTCTTCTCCCTCCAGTGCCTAGGTTTAGACTGCAGATGAAGCTAAGTTATTGTACTGTGTCAGCCTGAGAAGGAGGGGGATGAACTCCAGCAGGCCAGATAGTAAAGCGCTTGCTCTTTAAAGTTAACGTGTCCTTTAAAACAACTCATTAGCAAGAGGGAGCTGAATTTTCTGAACTGAAATAACAAATATGATGAGAGTCTCTTTTTGGAGCCCTTTCATGTGATAAAGAAGAAGTTGCTGCCCAGCCTGTTCCCCACTGCTGACTGGCACTGCAGGCCCAGCTGCCACAAACAGCCATGCATATCACATTGGCATCTTCCTTTCTTTAGGGGTTATTGTGCAGCCCAAACCAAGATAGCAAAACGCTGGATATGGAAGTCTTGGAACAGCTGAAATACACAGGCTGTGTCATCAAAGAGACCCTCCGACTGAGCCCCCCTGTTCCTGGAGGATTTAGAGTTGCACTCAAGACATTTGAGTTAAATGTAAGCTGTGCTGCATGGACTTCCTGCTTGCAAAATCCCTTTCTCATCATAATATGAAATAATTAATTTCATAACGATTTTCACAGAATTCCAAAGGGGGCGGGGCACATCTTGATTTCTTTGTAAAGCCTTTCCACCCTTTTCCTGCCTCTGAGCTGAAGGGCAAAACTGTAGTCTCTGCATAATGAGGTATTTCTTACAACTCTCTTTCTTCTTAATAGGGTTACCAGATTCCCAAAGGCTGGAATGTTATTTACAGTATCTGTGATACGCATGATGTGGCAGAACTCTTCACCAACAAGGACAAATTTAACCCTGATCGCTTTATGTCCCCTTCTCCAGAGGACTCCTCTAGGTTCAGTTTCATTCCTTTTGGTGGGGGCGTGAGAAGCTGTGTGGGCAAAGAGTTTGCAAAAATCCTTCTCAAAATATTTACAGTGGAGTTGGCTCGTAACTGTGACTGGCAACTCTTAAATGGCCCCCCAACGATGAAAACTGGGCCTATAGTCTACCCTGTGGACAATCTGCCTGCCAAATTTGTAGGCTTCAGTGGCCAAATCTAAGCAGTTCAGGGGTTGCTTCTAGCTGAAGTTCTGTACATAGCAGTGTTTTCCTGTAAAAAAAAAAAAAAAAAAAAGTCTATTATGTATTTAACTTGTAAATGTATAATAGTTATTTATGTCTCTTTTAAAATATTTTTTAAAAGCTATGATATATCCTATTTTAATGGTCTCTGTGTGTGTATATTTTCCCCTTAGTCCCCCAAGCACTATAATTATGGGTCTCAGGATCCATAATTAGACAACTTATTTCTATAGAAATGTTTTCCCCTATCATACTGAAATCTTGTCATCTTAGCATTTAATGATGTTTCAGAACAGAGCATACATTCAGGTGCACTCAGATTCATAATACAGGCATATTAAATCATGGTAACTAATTGCTCATCCAGAATTTATGCAGGCTTGTATGAATTAGGATGTTTTCAGTATTACTTTTGATATTTAGGATTTATGGTCAATGTATATGAATTTTTCAGACTACAATAAAGTCTATTTTTAAGACTCTTTTTTTTTCAGAGTATTTGTAGCACTCTGCATATGTTACTAACTTTTAAGTTAAGTGGTGATCAAAAGGACTTGAATGTGGAGTTGGGTTTTAGCTTCTATCCTTACTATACTTGCAACTCTCTCAACAAATAAAAGTCAAAATAGTTCATTTGCTGAAGGCAAGGATTTTTGTGAGTGATTTTTTTTTTTTATTGGACCAGCTACATGGTTGGAATAAACATACACAAGCTTTTGAATACTGTGCAGTCTTAAGGTCACATGGGATAGACTTAGACAAGGTGACCTAAAGAAGAATGTATTGCATTCAGAAGCCTATCTAAGTCTATTCCAACTATGCAGTTGATCCCATAAAAGATATAACAGAAATTCTTATCTTATTTATTTCCTGGGCTATCATGGCTACAAATTCATTTGCTGAAGATGCTGAGGTTTAGCCTAAGTTTCTCTAACAAATCAATATGACTAAGACTTTCCTAATTTCCATTTTCCTAATTTCTTCATCCAGTAATCATTAGAAGAGTTGGGCTAGGCAAGAGATGGCAGCATTTCAATTTAAAAAACCCACAAACTAACCAAAACTATATATAATACACTAAAACCCCTAGGGAATTAGAGGAGGTAACACAGGTCCTTTCCTACCTGGTTCAACATATGGTAACATACTGAAGTCTAACCCTGAAATACACTAATCCAGAAGATAAAGGTGAGGAGAACCCACATAGCATAAACAGACTTTTTGCCTAATCCAACATAATCATTGCTCTGTAGCCAGGGACAAAAATGTATTCAAGGTAAGACATCTTCAGATTTCAATTCCTCTTCTCCCATGTTAAACTAATAAATAATTTTATTTACAGTCTAAAATCTGGTCTAGAACCTTTTCTGTCATTTGAAAATGTCAAATAGCAACTGTTACAGCAAACAAGCTACAATGTGGGGGGGGGGAGAGGAGGGATGTGGTTTTGTGTTTGTTTTATTTTTAAATATGATGTGGATCACGATTTGTTTTTTAAGGAAATAGCCTTACAATATCTAAGAACTTTCCTGAATTTTTGTTTTAATTGATGTAGGAGGTAGGGCAATTTAGTATTTAACACTGACTCAAATTCTGTGAGATTTGCACTGTTACTGTCAGGAATAAGCAGGACAGATAAAAATGCAAGCTACACGTGTCAATTACACAACTGAAAATTAATTTTTGATCACAGATTAAAGTGACCAAAATTCTCATTCTGTAAGAAATAATTTGTAGCCAAACTGCCTTATTACAAAGTTTTATTAATCACTTTTATTTTCTAATATTCTTTGTATAAAAATTGTTCTTTGTCAAGATTTCTCAGACACTGCATTCCAAATTTTATATTGTTATTGCTTCATCCAGTGTTTGGGCATGATTTGCTTTTATGCCATTGCATCTTTTACAATGCTTTGGCAATATAGCCCCTTTAAGACCACAAGTGTTAGTGGTGCGAAGAAGAACCAGCTTATGATTGCAAGCACTTTGCACATTATGTGCAGTTTTATGAAATGCGAAGGCAGCTATATTCTGAAATAACAGCACTGTGAGAATCATGCTAATGTTTGCCAATAGAAATAGATTACTGTATTCTGGAAATTGGTTTGTTTTTTAACTCAAGATTCATGCTATTTTTATTCGTGGGGTGTAGGCCAATATAAAGCATTGTTCTGTAATAGGTGTACTTGATACCATTTTTTTTAGCCAAGTGTCAGCCATTCAGGATGTTCTTATAAACAGTAACAACTTTAAGCACTGACGTTATATCTGGAGTATAAATGGCTGTATGAGGTTATAATCTTGAGGTTGCATTGGCAGTATAGCAGCAATTTTTCTGTTTGATTTTGTCCAGTTTTTATATTTGGATATAAGAATGTGTAGCTGTCTTGCAGACTTAGAGCAGATGCTCAGCTGGTGAGATTTGTTGCTATATCTCAGCAGCCACACAACAATTATCATTGTAATTAAACAGTGTGGTCAAGAGGTAAATCTTCCAAAAGCAGTCAAGAACATGTCAACACTGCATTTGTTGCCATTATTTAATAAATGGAACCTTGAAAAGAGTATATAAGATAGTAAGATTTTTCCCCTCTCTTCAAGATCAGAAGTAATCAAGAAAGATCAACCAAGAGCCTTTCTGTACCATGGCTGCAATGTAGCATAGACTTTCAACTAGCTACCTCAGAGACAGGTAGCAGTTTAATCATGACAGTCAGTGGAGACTGACTGACTATGTGGCCAGGTTCTTGGGCACGTTTTGCAGTCTGCAGAGTTTCATTCACTACCATTTACACTAGTGCCCAAGCTAGCTAGTCTAAACTAGTTGGAATATGACTATACAGTCCTAGGCTCCCAGCTGTGTCCAGTGTAGATGTACTTGGCCAATTTTCAAAAGTGCCTAGTCCTTCTAGATGCCTAAGCTGAGATCCATTAAAGGAGCTTGATTCAAAGGGTTGATGTTCAGCCCTTTCTAGCGATCAGCCCTTTTTAGGTCTCTCATGTTAGGCACCTCAGTTAGCTTGTCACTTTGAAAACCTTGGTCTATGTATAATTTAAACATATATATGATCAAACAGGCACTATACTTTGACTTAGAAGGTAAAAGCTGTGCTTACTTTATCATCAGCATGATGTTGATTTTCCAAATGTAACATGGACAAGTGGAAACACCTCTTTAACATACGTAAAATAAAACTGCAGTTTGGCAGCATTTTAAATGTTTGAAATGTCTTAAGTCTCTGTGTTATGCTAAACAAAGTGTTTCTTACTAACAACATTCAAATATGTTAATTTGTGAATAAATATGACATTGAAAAGTGTCACATTAGCTGACATTAAAGAACATAATTTGATTAACTGAATTCTAATAAAATTCAGTCACATTTTTTGCTAAGATCGTAACAGGTAATGTTGACTTTCAAAATTAGTATGTGACCAAACAAAAACCATTCAGACTTGCTGTAATGATTTCTACAAACTGTATTGTAATGAGAGATATTGTTTGATTGAAAAGACTTTCTGTGTACTGATTTCCATTTGCCCTAGTAAAATTATACAAATGCATACTATTTTTTTTCTTAGCTGCACTGTAACAATGATTTTTATTTGCTACTTTATATAACAAAAAACAAAGAAGCTAGACCACAACCTTTCTGTGCTTGCTTCTGATTCATTTTCTTATGTCCTTTATATAGATATCTGTTCTTAGATTGGCTTGATTTTCACGCTGGGTTCTATATCCAATATCTTTTAATATCATTCCTTTCAATGACTTAGATTGGCTTTTTGAGAGATACTGAGAAAACTACTTAGTGTTTTATAGAATAAAATAATGACAATCAGTGCAGACTGACTGAATGACTATGTGGCTAGGTTCTTGGCCATGATTTTCAGTCCGCAGAGTTTCATGCACTGCCAGTTACACTAGTACCCAAGCTAACTAGTGTTTCAAAGAAATTAAAGCACCTAAGTGCCAAATGCTCAAATAATGGGAAATAGGCCTATTTCTTAAAAGTATTTACAAGTTGAATACTTTAAAAAAATCCAACGATTGATCACTTTTGAAAAGGAGATGTTGGCCACTTTTAAAAATATTCATTAACAGCATTAGCAAGAGGAAGACTACTAGATTTTATCACAGCAGATTTAGGATAACATTTACAAAGCTTTGTGCTTCAAATAGTCCACTAGGTCCATATTTTAACTTTCAATTTAGACATGATTTTTGAGTTATTGAGACTGCATCTACTACTGCTTTCAAAGGAATCTGCAGTTCCTAGCACCTCTGAAAATCAAGCTACTTTTGTTTTGATCCCTAAATAAGCATTTAGGAGCCTGACTGCAGGTCACCAGCTTTGAAAACGTTGGTCTTAATAATACACAACTGTTCTTATTTAGCTTTGCTAATAGAGGATAATATGGTGATATATTTGGGTTTTGTGCATTCACTCATGTAAGTTAGAGAAAAGATTGAACAACGCATACACACATGCCTGCACACATGGCTGAGAAGTATCAATAAAGACTTGTATCAAATTTTATTCCAAGCATATTATGCCAATGTTTCAGAAATTAAAAAACGATTGCAAACATTGGCTTTGGTGTAATGATCTGGTGTATACTGGTTCATAGATCATGTTCCACACCAGAAATGGTTACACTTATTCTTGCTTGGAAGTCACTGTGTTAATGCACATTTATCCCCCCACCCCTGCAAACAAGAAACAGTGGATAGGGTTCAATAACGTGTGAATACCAAGAGGTTTTTTTTGCCAGGTGGTCTCTTGTAAGTTCTCTGTGTCAAGTTATACATCCAGAACACAGTGCAAAACATATACAGATTAGTGGCAAAGAGTTTCGAAGTTTATTAGTAGCAACCATTAGAGTGATAGATTAGGAGTAAGGAAATGCAATTGGCAGCAAGTTTAGAAAAGGCTCATTACTGGACTGGCTTGCCTAGCTTGTTTAATAATATCACATGAAAAATGTTATGTGAGAAGTTTGATGAAGAATGCAGTCTCATTAAGTTATGTAAATTAATGTAACTTTGTGGGTGGGTTAGAGAGAAAATATTTAACAAATCTGTTTATATCCAAAGAATAGAGTTACATAGACAGTTTTTAATGAGTCTCAGATTAAAATATTTAAGAGGTAGACAGGAGAACATAGATACTTTTGTCCGATGACAGTAGTACTGTTTTGATAGACTTTTACAAATACCCTCAACTGCAAGATAAGTAGCTAACATTTTTCACTAAATAAGGGTTTGGTGTGCTTCTTTATTATCAACATCATTGTTACACTTGTGGCTTTTGTGTAATTTTAGTACCATTAGGTGCAGTTTGTGTAGTTTGCAGTACTAACAAGGATAGAGCAGTCATTTTAGCAAAAGTGTATTTTCATATACTCATATATGTTTTCATGCCCATTGCATTCGTGACTGCATCATA